CTTTCGCTACTTAATAAGAACTTGAAGAATTTGTTTAATTAAAAGAATCCGAAGAAATAGTAGAATGTTAAGGATCTATGTAATTTAATAGCAGAATAAGGTACAAGCGAAGAACAAAAGGAAAATCAAAAGAATACGAATATATCGAAAGAATCTTTAACTATTCAAGAACTACCTAGAAGCTCGATTCCTTCACTCAACGCTAGAAGCATTTTGAGAAATTTTGTTTAGGGGAAAGTGGGGGAATATCGCCATAGGGGGCAATACCGCCATACCCATTGTAAAAAGAATTCCTTGTATTAGGTTCGTCGTACTAGGAGCAACATCTATTGGCCAACAGTACGAACTGCGGGAAGAAGTTTTAAATCGCTAACTGTATACGTTCACATGTGATAGTGCAATATTGTTTTTTCAAAGGTTGCTTATAGTTTTTACGATTCGAAAAATAGAACGTAAGTACTACAAATATAATGTTATTGAAGGGTTATAGGATTTTTTCTGTAAATTGAGATGTGTAGATGTGATGGGTGTGTCCTCGGGTGTTGAATGTGTGGTTGGGTTAGGAATTTTTTTAACGTGTCAACGACCCGATGGGATAATACCGCCATAAACGAATGGGGTAAAATCGCCATGGCGGTATTTCCTCCGACCGATTCTATATCATAAAAAATATTAATTTCAAACAGATTTACTTGGAGAAACTCCATTTGAAGATATTTAAAACGTACCTAATTAAGAATTGAATGATTCCGCTTTAATAAAAAATCAATTTATTCTGTATCATAAAAGATCCTTGTCCTTTTCAGTACCGCAATGCCAAGAACTAGGAAAAGAAAGTCGGAAAGAGCGAAATGGTCTACAGACCAATTACAAAAAGCAATCGCGGCAGTTAATTCTGGACAATCAGTAAAAAAAGTATCAGAAATTATGGAAATTCCGCGAACAACATTAAGAAATTACCTAAAATTGGAAATAAACGACAAAGAAAATTTAGGAAGAAAGCCAATTTTCACCCAAGAAATGGAACGTGAAATAGCAGAATGTTTTGTCAATGGCAAAACGGTTTTACGGTATTACAGCTGTGGAATTGCGTCGACTTGCGTTCCAATATGCCGAGAAAAATGAAATCCAGCACCGATTTAATACAGAAACGAAAATAGCAGGCTTCGATTGGCTTCAAGGTTTCTTAAAAAGAAATCCTAAGATTACTTTACGAAAACCCGAGGCGACTAGTTTGAGCAGGATTGAGGGATTTAATAAAGATGATGTAAAATTATTTTTTCAAAATCTTGAGGCGGTCATGACAAAATTTAAATTTGGAGCGTCACGGATATATAATTGTGACGAGACAGGGATAACAACGGTTCAAAAACCTGGAATGATACTTGGACCTAAGGGCCAAAAACAAGTTGGTGTCGCAGTAAGTTTGGAAAGAGGAAAGAACGTCACTGTGCACTGCGCGTTTAGTGCCTCTGGCAACTATATCCCACCGTTGTTTATATACCCACGGAAAAGAATTAGTCCACAGTTAAGTTCTGGAGGACCAGACGGTGCCATCTATAAATGTTCAGATAATGGGTGGATCAATGAAGATATTTTTTATTCATGGTTGGATCATTTCAAAAAGCACACCAAACCGACTGAAGATGATCAAGTTCTTTTAGTCATGGACAACCATTGCAGCCATAAATCGTTAAGAATGTATGACTTCTGCAAACAGAATTTCATAACTGTCGTCACAATTCCCCCTCATACTTCCCACCGCCTCCAGCCGCTAGACGTTGCTTTTTACAGTCCCCTAAAATCTGCATTCAATAGAGAATGCGATCTGTTTATGAAAGCAAACCAACAGGCAAAAATTACGCCTTACGATCTGGCGTCGCTTTTTAATAAAGCGTACCAGCGCATCGCCACAATAGAAAAAGCTGCTTCCGGTTTTAGAGCGACAGGGATCTTCCCGCTGGATCCAGAAAGATTCACTGACGAGGATTTTGCGCCAGCTGTACACAATACCATTGAAATTCCCAATGTTATTGAAAACGAAAATGATGTTTCATTTGACTCTCAGAATGGGGATCAAAATGCCAATCAATTCGAGCGGAATATTCTAGATGAACCTTCGACGTCGACTGGTATTACGTCACAGAATAAAGAGAAGACAAGGATTGAGATGGCAACAAGACAACTACTATTTCCGGGCGATTTTTCCACAACGTCTAAATCAGCAATGAATTCTGCGAGTGATTCAAATGCTAGCGCAACTTGTAGCAAAGAGAGCAAAATTAAACATCATTTTGGTGATATTATACCACAATCTCAACCTACGATTAGCAAACCAACCAATAGAAGAAAACAGCACTCTCAAATAATGACCAGTACCCCAATGAAAGCGGTATTTGAAGAACAGGAGAAGAAGAGGACACAAAATGCCCAGAAAGGGGGAAAACATGGAAATGGTAAAAAAATTAAAGCAGTACAAATAGCTAAAAAAAAGAACACTACAAGAAAAAAAACCTGGAAGAAATAATATCACATTGGAATCATCAACAGATGAGTCAGTTGAAGGTAAACTTGTCGACGATGATGAGCTAGACGACTTGGACCCTTCGGCAATTGATTATTGTGAAACCGGCATTAAAGACATTTGTATTATTTGTTGCAGTGAAGGAAAGGACAAAGAAATATGGTATAGGTGCACAGCATGTGGCAAGTGGGCACATGCTGATTGTAGTGGATGGGACAGTGCAAAAGACTTTGTGTGTGACTATTGCCAGTAGTAAGTGCGTTGATGATGATTTACGAATTTTTGTAATATTTTTTGTTGCATTTTTCCTTATTATTTAACCACAATAACTATTTTTAAAATTTGAATAAAAAGTACGTAAATATCTATGATTTATTCCTTTATTTGGCATAATTATTATCAATTTTTATGTTATTGACAAAACCGAAAGTATAATTTGAGTATTTACACAATCAAACACAATAAACTTGCATTTTGGGCTTATGACGGTATTACCCCATGTCCATGGCGCTATTACCCATATGTTTGGGTAATATCGCCATGTACAGTGTTTTTTAAAAAAATTACCTAAACAGAAAATAAATTGTTATTTTGGATAACTTGCTATTATTTCTGATAGACGTAAAGTTGATTAAAGGCATGATGAAAGGAATTGAGAAAAATCTGTATTCAATTACTTTTTGTGGTCATTTTTACTTATCGTGGCGGTATTCCCCCACCTTCCCCTAACTCTTAAACAATGCCTTAAAAATTACAACAAATTAACCCTCTAAGTGGTGACGAGCGCTTACAGATAATAACTGGTTTCTCGCGGGCATCTTAACCCTACAAATAGACGAATGTTCAACTTCGCTGAATTGGGTAAGAATTTTTGTGGAAAAAAACCCTTCGTACCAAAGAATCGCAAGTACAGATTGAGCGATGAACATGTCAAATTTAGCAGACACAAATCAACGTCAGAAATGATATAAGTGGTATCCAAGGCATTGGTAAGATTTTACAATAAATGTGGAAAGTTGAAGGTGGAACACTGCAATATGACAACTTTTTATGATTACTATTGTTTTTTGTTGTGTTATTGTTATGTTTTTGGTAAACATTGCTCGTTGTTTTAGTTTAATTCGAGGTTTGATTTCAATATATGTCAAATAATTTGCTTTCTTAACATTTATTTTTTTTTCGGAATTTAAATTTCAAAAATCCGATACAAGTGAATAGGTACTGAACGATCCTCGAGATTTTCAGGCATTCATAATTTTTACAACATACCTTAAGTGGTTGATTCTGTCACACCTAGCATCGCGCGTAAAATACATTTTTTGAATTGATATTAGTTTTATTTTATTTGAGGTGCGTACATACAAAATTTCATTCAAATATCTTAACAAATAAAGAAATTGGATTGCGCACATACAAAAGTTGGGTTGCGCATGTGCAAATTTTAATCTGCATAGTTGCTTGGGGTTGAAATATTTACTAACACAGAAAACCGAACATTCATATGTTCTTTGTAACAAGAATTATAAAAAATAACTATTTTTTGGAGGTTTGGAACTTTTTCACCCGTTAGTGTACGTAGCTGAGAAACAATGCCGAGCTTTTTAAGAACATACGTACCAATTTTAACGTGATCCGATATTTTCATACACAGTTATCGTACACACAGACAGACGGACATACAGACAGACACTAATAAAAAATTATAAACGTTCTCGAGGATCGTTAATAATTTTCAGGATTGAACCGTTGTCATCTTGAAACGGTGCGACAGAATCGAACAAATATCTGAGCGAAACAAGAGCTTAAAATTATTCCAGTAGTTCAATTCAACCCAAAAAAAAGTGGGTCAAATGCCATTTCCGGTCTATTTTTGGGCTTTGTAATCGACATATTCGGAGTGGCTGTCATTAATTACACTGTTACGCAAACAGGATGAGGTATTTTACATTGGAAGAACATTCGAAAGAAATGATTACACGTTGTTAGGCATAAGGGTTTTAGGATTTCGATTGTTTTTAATTTAGTCAATTTAAAACCTTTACTACTACTAAACTAAAGTTTGACACTTTTCGACCACTTTAATTAATAAAGCTCTACCCATCTGGCTTTTCATCAAATTTCCGTCTCAACCCCAACTTTTTAAATACCAAATCTCAACGTTTATGTAACGTATGTAAATATTTAATCGACAAAGTGGAAAAAATTTAATGAGATTTTTTAATTTGCAATTAAACTAAAGCGCCGTACGAAATTTGTTAATTTAAAAGAAGTTAATGTTGAGTACTGAGGTCTCGCATTCCTTACTTTGATGTAACAAATTGATTTGGGCATAAAACGCACGGTGCCCACCCCCTATCTTCCGGTTTAAAAAATACAAATGCGCAGCTCCCGGATATGTGCTCTTCACATCAGGTAATGCTGCGAAATGACGTCACAGCTCTCACCTTTCGGGAATGCCGCCTATGAGAAAGTCGGTCAGTATGCTGTGCTGTCTTCAGTTACTATCTACTCTTCGTTAGTTCAAACGCGATGCTCCAAGAGACGATAATTTTTTACAATTTGAATTACTGATATACTTGAACGTATTTGTCCCAGTGTTAGTTGGACTGGATTAAGGGTGTCGTTTGTATTTGGCCATTAAAAAGTAAGCAAATTTTTGAGTACCTTTTAATTTTGAATAACAGAAATGACTTTAGAGTAATTAATTTAATTAAGTTCGAATTTTAAATCAACTTTCCCAATTGTAACTGTAAGTAAGTAATGTGGAAAGTGCGTGCTGCATTTCGTGTAAGGTATATACCTAAGCCCCGAACATAGCATATACTTTTACATAGGCAAAAATCGTTTGCACTTTTGTTTAAACTAATCTGTATCATCAAAATGATGTAATGAATAATTTCCGCAAGATCTCTGCAAGAACCGCTAACTTACGGATCTAAGTTTTTGTATCAAAAAAAGAGTTTGCTATGATTTTGATGTCAGTGAACTTTAACAATTAAACTTGAATTACGGATAAATGACTGCAATCCCGTACATTTGCAACGAGATTGGTACTTACTATGTAAATAATACTTTAAAACATAAACTGCTTTATTGTGTCTACAAAACCGAAACGAATTGCAACTGGTTATATAAGAACATAACTTTACAATTTGCTCGTATTTTACTTCATAAATTTTGAGGTAACTAACCGACTTAATTTTGGTGTTTACCGATCTAAATTAAGTCCTTTTAAATATCGATTAGATGATATTATCATAAATTAAGTTAATTGGACTGGTTTGATCTTTGTCGTAATTGGAATAAAAAGTGAGAATTTTATGATACTAGAAAAAACCATAATAGAAATTTCATGAATTGTAAGAAGGAACTGACATGATCTCACATCGGATTTAACCCACTTTCTGCATGAATAAGGCTTCGTCGAGAAATTTTCATATTTACTACTGAGAAATGTTTGTATGAAATTTGTACACTTTTGCATCGACTTCAGAATACAAAGAATCATTAATTAGGGTACATACGAGATTCTCTCCGGTATTAATTGTCCTACTTTTTTACATAGGTTTATTATTGCGTGTTGTAGTAATTGTGTTCAAGTGTAGTAAAAGAAAGGGATCATGTATTGTTTCGATGGTCAAAGATCTGAAAACGGATAATTCACTATATTCAAAAGTGCACTAATTTCTTTAGTAAAAAAGTCAAACTTATAGTCTCGATTGCGTTATAGGCTCGGTATTAGCCAAAAACACGATGTTGATGGATGATTCACTATATGTAGAGCAACAATAGGAGACAATGATGGTCAGAACATATAATAGTACTGAAGAGGAGATAACTATATTTATCAGGGTTTAGGTAATAGTACATTATATATCAAGGTAGAGAAGTCCAGTATTATTGCCTGAGCACCAAGATTACATCTCGAGGCGCTTGCGTCGACATGTTAAAATTTGATCAAATGTCGACGTTTTAGATCATTTTAAGCAACTTTTAAAGAATAAAATTTGTTTCCGGCTGTATGTATCTCGGTATGTATGTGCGTACGTCCGTACGTGCGTACGTTGGCAATTTTCCGAGATAACGGCTCGACGGATTTTGTTAAAATTTTGGATATGTATATTAGACATACGGAAACGCAAAATAATGGGCCGGATTTTTTAAAAAAATTTTCGAGCGCCACAACGGCATGAATTTTTTTTTCAAATAGCAACCTATTTTTTTTATTAAGAAAGACGAAAGACCTTTTTTTTCTGTGTACAACCTACAAAAATTATGCGAGGTTTTATTACAAAAAAATTGAAAAAAATTTAAAAAACAAAAATATTTTTTTCGGTAAAACGGTTATTAGGGTCAATCAGGGTAAGTGTGGCAATGGGGTAAGTGTGGCAAGAGCTAAAAAAAAATTACAAAGGGTCCCAAACACCAAAATGGCTAGTCATAAACAAGAGAGGACATTTCCTTAAGCTAACAACAAATTTATGTAACAAAATTGATATGTTTAATGTCCAACTTTTCCTTAGCAAAATCCCACTGCAGATAAAATGGACTACCAATATCAATGCACTTGATTCAAATTTATATTTAACAAGTGAAACTTAAATTTCTACATTTGTGCTTATGTGTAATGTTTGCCCCATCTGTTGCCTAGCAATATGTGTATTCGGAACTACCTATTTACAGTTTGTGAATCAGTTGTTTAAAATATTAGGCATCACTGGTGTTTTAACAACAACAGGGTAAGTGTGGCAGCACTGGTATGGGAAAGTGTGGCAGTAACAGAATCAGCTGTTAGTTCGGACATTGTGAGGTTAGTTTGAGTGGTGTGTTACTTTATAGTCGTGGATCTAATTTCTTAGTTTTGTTTGTTTACCTAAAAGCGAGCCTAAAAGTAAGTGTATTCTACCAATTTGGATGTAACGATCTTAATCTTAATTTATCTTTCCATAAGAAAATGCCAAGAAAATACATCAGGAAGACAAACAGGGGCGTAGGCGGACGTTGGTCCGCAGAAAGTTTGAAAAGTGCCATAGATGAGATACAATCCGGTCAAATTAATGTCTACAGTGCTGCAAAAAAATATGAAATACCGAGATCGACACTAATGTTAAAATTAAAGGGCTGGAAAGGCAAAAATCCTAGAACGTCCACCATTAATATAATCAATGCTGGGGGTCGAAAAACGCAGTTACCTCAAGAGACTGAAGAAAAACTCTCTAAATACATAAAAGTAATGAATAAGTGGGGTTTGGATTGACAAAAAAAGATGTGTTAAACCTGATAAAAGATTACGTTACTCAAAATAATATTCCCAATGGTTTTACAAATAACATGCCTGGGCACGACTGGTGGATCGGTTTTAAAAATAGGTGGAGGCTGACTTTAAAGAAACCAGAATTATTAGAATCCTCTAGAGCTAGACAAGCAAATGATCCATTTATTGTTATGGACTTTTATAATAAATTGGAAATAATAATAAATGACCTGAAAATTAAAGACAAACCTCAGTGCATCTATAACTGTGATGAAAGTGGATTTAATCATGATCCTCTGTGTTCAAAAGTAGTTACTGGAAAAGGAGATCCCTCCTCACGAGTAACTGGTGGAAGTGGGCGTGAGTATACCACAGTATTAGCTTGCATATCTGCCAGTGGTGAAAAAATGGGTCCAATGATTTTACATAAAGGAAAGAGATTATGGACGTCGATGTTTTGTGAAGATGCATTTCCGGGAACGTCTTATTTTGTTAGTGAAAATGGATGGATGACGGAATTAGTTTTTACCTCATGGTTCCGAAAGATATTCGTACCTAACGTAAAAGAATTTCCAGCATTACTGATTTATGACGGTCATCTGTCGCATATTAGTGTGGAATTAATTGAATGTGCAGTTAGCTCAAATGTAACAATTCTTAAACTTCCTCCTCATACATCCCACCTTCTTCAACCATTAGATGTGTCAATCTTTAAGTCTGTTAAAACTCGATGGGATAGTCTTTTGACTGAATGGACAAGATTGAATATCGGATCAAAAATATCAAAAAGCGATTTTGCTCAACTGCTAGGCAAGGCGTGGGAATCAATAACACCTGATAACGTCCGAAATGGATTTATGAAAACGGGCATATATGACCCCAATTTATCCGGCTCTAGTACATGTGTAAACAGGAACGCAATTGATTAATTTTGAAAATTACTAGTGTCAAGATTTACAAAAAATGTTACCTCAAAACGTTTTGGCCACCTTGAGGCGTTTAATTATGGACATTAAACATTAAACATTATGATTGCAAACATTTTGATCCAGAAAAATATGAAAGATATTTGACCTCAGTAAAAAGCCAAGAGAAGTCCGACACCCTGCCACTTCCAAACAATGATTTATTGACACCTGCATCATCCTCCAATAACGACACTGTTGCCAAAATCCCGGAACCTTCTACTCCACCACCAGTTAAGGAGACACCATCAAAAACTTTTGAAAGATTGGTTTTAGCTAAATTGTCAGCATCGGGTAGGTCAAGCGCCGCAAAGCAGGCTCGCAAAAGAATAGATGTTGCAGAAGTTATTACCCAGGATGAATACCTGAAGGCTCTTAAAGAACGCAAGGGTAAAGAAAACATAAAACCAGTTGAAGATTCGCGGAAGAAGAAACACGCATTAAAGCAACTAAAGACAAAAAATGCAAAACAGAAAAAACAGGAAATCCCAAACATCAGTTCTAGTGAGGATGCTGATCAAGAAATTACCTCTGGTGAAAGCAGTGATTATGAGCCACCTACCCTCGACCAACCATGTGATCTATCAAAAATGGATGTGTACAGTGTTGGCTCATATGTGCTTGTGCAATTCAAAGGCGGGAAACGAAATCAGAGCAAGTATTATTATGTGGCAATAATTCAATCTGTTGATCAAGACGACGACGAAGAAGAATATAAAATAATGAGCCTTAAATGCACAGACCATACAAAGAAGATGTTCCTTGCTGATGAAAATGACATTTCTTTTATTGCAAAGGAGCAAGTAATGGGGCAGTTGCCAAATCCAGAATTACTAATGACAGGGGAGAGAATGCGGTATGTTTTCCCTGGACCTGTGGACCAAGTATTTGAAATGGCTTAATAATAATGTGAAGAAGACAGTTTTAAGTTTTTAAACATTAATTGTATGGGTTCAATATCTTTTATAAGAAAAAAATGTATATACTTTTCTTATATAAAAAATTCTCAGCATTTCAGTCACACTTTCCCCTTTGATCTATCTTCGATATCTTAGAAAATATTCACGTTTGCCACACTTTTCCATTCCCGTGTCACACTTACCCCTTTTAATGGTAAAGTGTGGCACTGGACATCCATTATTATTTCAATTTTTTTTCAAAAATCAGTTTCTGTTTTCAATCAATATATCCACGGATAATAATGTACTGACCTTATTAAAGATTTAAAAAAAACCGTAGATGTCTATGTCTAGTGGTTTTTGTAAAAAATTACGTCAAAGTCAATTAATAAAAAAAGCAATCACACTTTCCCCGATTGATACCGATAAAATTTTGGCAGTGTACATTAATCATAAAGAACATAAGACTGTCAAAAGCTTTTTTTAAATGTTTTTAGCGCCGTGATGTCATACAACTCTTTTTTTC